TCTTCCGACGAGATGCAACGAGAGGGAACGCTCGGACAGCGCAGGCGCGGCGTACGCGCAAATAGCGACAGCGCGGCCTCACGTGTCACGGAGATCTCTACAGTTCACTTGCATACGAAGACTCGTACAGGGATCTTAGAAGTCGGAGAACGGTACCCGTTGGTCCACATCCACATGTCGTCACAAGCTTTCTTTACTTTGATCTGCGAATGGGGCGGGTTATATCTTTTTTTCAGAATTGTATTGTTTCTCGTTCACGTATATATCCCTATAATGTAACTTATGCTTTAGAGGAGAGAATGATGTATTATTTTAATTTTGGGCTTTAATAATTACTACTAAATCAAATTTATTCATATTCTTTAAATTGACACTTCAAAACAAGATGTTAGATCGTGTTTATATATAAATCATAGGATATAGGTACCTCGATTTATAAGATACTTTAATTTGATTTTCTCAAAATCGCGCTGCAAAACAATAAAGATAAGAACAAAAACAATGCAGTTAGAAATCTATAAGCCAGTAGATAATGTCATTATCACACAAGAGAGATACACCATTATATAGATTTATGGATTATATAATTTGCCAAAAGGATACAGGAAAATATTTTTAAACTTCTTCTACAAAAATATTTGATACAAATTGATTTAGCACATAAACGAGCAACAAATTCACAAATTATAGGCTTTTAATGAATAAACTTAAGTGGACCAAGTTTATATCAGCTCTGATAATGTGCAATTTTTAATTATGAAAAATATAAAGGTATAGATCTATATTAATTTAAGGGTACTTTTCTTCTATCAATTTCGAATAAAGCGGCATATTTTTTTACACACGATAATAGATTAAAAATATTAATAAAAAGAAGAAAATTTTCAGTTTTAATATATGCGGTACTAAATACTCAAGGATCAAAAGAGTCATTCTTCACAACGAGAGATAAGTGGATTTCTTTTCTATCTGCAGGCTCTTATCATCAAAAAACAGCTATCTCGGAAATAACATTATCTTTAAGGCTCCAGTTTCCTCAATGCAGTCATATTGAATTAACAAGTCAGAAGCGTGAAATCGTATAAAGTTCTTTCTTACAAAGTATTAAATAATTTAGATTTTCTTGTATGCCGTATGTGTCCGATATATGGACTAATATAAAATATATTTTCTATTATTTCACGTTACTAAATGCACATAATAATTCAATCTACAGGGTGCTAAATTTCAAACATAACAGGCCAAATATCTCGATAACTAAATGAAATATCGAGGTCCGGTTTTTTTTTTTTGACGCGTCCATCCAAAGTCAAATTCTTTTTATCAAAATTTGTCCGCCTCGAAACAATACAACTTAAAAAAAAAAAAAAACTGGACCTCGATATTTCATTCAGTTATCGAGATATTCGACCTGTTACTTTTGAAATTTAGCACCCTGTATATCAATCCTACATTATATATTTGTAGCAAAAACGGACTTTATGACAGTTTTAATCGAGAGATTTAGAACTATTTATTAATTTATTAATCTATTATTTATTATATATAATCTAAATATTAATGCAGGGCTAAAAAGAAGGTTCTGATTAATTTTATCAATCTATACTATCGAATGCGAGCGCGATGTAACATATGAAAAATAAATAATTTATATGTATACATGTTAAAAAAAAAAAAAAAAAATCGGAAAAATTTTCCTTTTTACTTCAACACGAATGTAAAGCAACATTCTCGAGGGAACAAATTATCCAAGATAGGGTAAGGTAGGTAGGTAGAGTTAGGTCGTCCCCTGTGAGACTCAAGGCCGCACTTAAAAAAAAAAAAAAAAATCCGGACAATTCTCGCTTTTGACTTCATAATTCAATATGCCTGCGATGAGGAATCAAGAAATGCATAAGACAAAATTCTAATTATCTCATAAACTAATAAGCTTTCAAAGCATTTTTTATTAAGTATCTATTTAATCTAACAAAAGTATATTCTTCATAGTGTTTCTTTTTTTTTCTCGTCTAAATACATGCGATATTTTTTATAATTCACAATCTTAATCCTAAGATATATAGCTTGTGTAAATATACTGCTTATATGCAGTTTTTTCTTATATACTGTACTATACGTGTAATAGTTCCTAATTCTCTATATTGTTATATTCGATATGTTTTTTACGTGTGTGTTAAAACATTTATTTGCATCGATATTAATATTTTATTGTAACTAATTTAAGATGATCAAAAAAATTGTGTTATATATACATATATACGTACATATATGTGTGTGTGTATTACGTATGTGCCATACAAATTATCAACACACATATGTATTATATTCAAGACAATTCTTCCGATCTTCCGA